GGTATGCCGCGACATTGCAACATTGCGAGGAACGGGCAAGGTGGAAGTTTGGCTAGGGCATGGGGACTTAGTCAAGACAAGCCAAGCTAGACCAAGTATGAGGGAAGAACGGTTGGCACTGCGAGAAACCATGTTCGGTTCATGGGCGGCATGACATGGTCAAGGGAGACTATGGGTGTGCGGGTCCGGCATGTGGTCCAAGTGTTGGTGAAGATCAGTGGCATGCGGGGCATGGCTTACGGGATGCGGAACAACAGTTTGGAGGCATGGCAAAAGCAAGTGGCTCAAGGTGGCACGTGGGCGACTCAAGGGTAGTGCGTGGTGCGTGGCCAGGCTTGAGCCCGGGGCGTGGCTGTCCTTGGGCAGTCACAAAATTTGGGAGCTTCAGTGGCAACGAGGGTTGGTTGGCCGGTTGACAAGTGGGACTTGGGCAAGCTGGGCGCAAGGCAATGAGAGTTGGTCACAAGCTCAAGGCATAGAGTTGGCTCGTGGGTGGCCTGGGTTAGGCCACAGGATGAGTGAAAGCTCGAAGAGGCGTGTTGGTTCGGTGCGGCATGACTCAAGTCTGGAAGGGCAGGGCGGTTACACGCGAACAGGTGCCTTGGGGCGAACCGGTGGCAAGGCAGTTGAGGGCTTCGGGCGAACAAGTGCTTGGGCAGACCGGAAGGCCGCGACATAGACGGTTGGTAACTGCCACATGCGAAGAGACGCGTCCCTTAGGCTAGGCAGTTGGCTTGTAACTGCCAGACGTGGCTTGTCTATAAATATGTCGCGGCATAACTGCGAGTTTTGTAGTCTTAGCGAGAGACAGCAGTGTGGCCGAGTGTTTGCAAGTGTGTTAGACATCATGATGGCATTTCGGAAAAATGTTGGCATTTTTTTCGGTGGTCGGAGCTGGTGGTGCTGGGAGGTTGTTGAGGCGGCGGCAGCCGCCTACATTTTTTTTTAGTTTTTATTTTTTAATTGTAATTTTTTAGTTTTTTATTTAATATTTTTTATTTTAATAATTTTTATTTTTATTAATTTTATTTAATACGAAGTATGTTTTATTTGATATATTTTTGTGTTTTTTTTTTTTCATTTTTTTACAATTTTATTATAAATTAATGTTATTCCTTTTATGTTTTAATTATTAATGAAAGTTGTTGGGGCTTGGGTAGGGATATACTTGTCTAAACACTAAAGTTACTCCTATTCAAAACATGGTACTCCTATTTTTTCATTTTGCCTATCTTTTACTCCTATTTGGAGAATTCTCTCCTTTCTATTTGAGTGACATGTCCATTTTTTAAAGGGTGGATTCCATATGCCCATTAAAGATGCTCTAATAGTAGTAAGAGTAATAATAAGCAAATAACAATATAATCACATCTTATAAATCTAAATAACAATAGTAATAGTGATGATGATGATTATAATAATAGTCACAACAATAACAATAATAGTAATAGTAGTAGTAGTACTAATGATGATGATGATGATGATGATGGTAATAATCTATAAACACAAATATGTACCGAAGTATTTACATATATAATGACAATTTTTTTGTTAGTACGAAGTACTTCGCCAAACTAATTCTTGCGTGCTCTAAAGAAGTCTCCAAGATATTGAGAGATTTAAATCCGAGTCTTTCGAACTATTCATTAGGTTCCCACGTACCATTGTCATCTAATAACATGTCTAAACACTGTTGAGTCCGTTTGGTGACCTTGTTTTTCGGCTTATCAGGCTGATCAGACAACTTTTTTACCAAACACATAAGTTTTGATTTCGCGCGCTGAATTGTGTAATAATAAGAAAACGTAATGTTAAAATTACTTTTTTCTGGTGTTTTTGCTGTTGTTACTGTAGAGGATCATTTTAGCTATTTTTTCTTATATTTATTCTTAATTTTATTAGTAAAATACTCCCTCTGTCCCAATTTGTAAGACACTTTACGGTTTACGATGTTTGACTTATGATAAAGCAAATGGGTCCCTGTCCACACTCAAATTATTTTTTAAAAAAAAAGTACATATTCAGAAACTACATTAAAAGCTTTACAAAGTCGCAAAACCAGAATCAAATTTGATACGGAGTAAAATTTTGATATATAAAGTAAGAGATTTTTTTTTGTCAGTCAACGTTTGGATGAGGAAATCAGTAAGGCAGTCAAATGAATTTGTGAAGATAATTGCGCAGTTAAATAGCGCAGTATATTTCAGAAAATCATTTGACTGCCTTCTTGGTTGAATTTTTAGCTGAAATTTGGTATGAGTAAACTAGACCTAATGCATAAGATGCTAAAAAAACTTCATCAAAAAATTTCACCAAAAACCGCCCCAAATCGCGACAGCCGGACAGAGCCTCCTACATAAGGAGTAATTTGCATTTTTATGTAATTTCGATGGCTTATTTGATAGTTCTCCATCCAAAAAACAGAAGAAGAAACAACGAAGAGAGAGTGAGAAGAATAAATAAATACGGTGTAACAATAGGGTTGTAAATGAATCAAATAATTTGTGCTCGATTCGCGATTCGAATTCGTAAAATTCAAATACAAATACAAATAAGAATATTAAATTTGATTCGAGTTGTTATCAAATACAAATATGAATATCAGTATATTCAATTCGGATATTGATCAAATATATTCGAATTAATAATAGTGGTAATATTAATAATAATAATAATAATAATAATAGTAATGACACTATAATAACTTTTAAAAGATGGCAATACCCTCAAAGTGTAGCCATATATACATTTATACATACAGATTCCAAACCCATTTGTAGTAAATTGGAATATAAATACGAATGCAAATTATATTTTTTGTTCAAACGTCTTTCAAATACAATACACATAATTATGTATTCAATTGGAAGAATAACATTAGAGTCGTTTGACTTTGATATATACAAGTGTCAACTTATTTCACACATTATAAGTATAATTTCTAATATTTGTGTGTTGGTGTTTATTTCAAAATGTTCGAAAGAGATTTATGCTTATTAATCATAAAATTAAGGAAAAATTGACAAGAATAATCTCACCTTTACATAATTCCAAAATAATCCACATTTGCACCTCATCTTCTTTCATTGGACCCTGACCAAGTTTTTTACCTTTATTTGAAAATCTTATATAAATAATCTCACATTTATAAAGATATAATAGAAAAGTGAAAGGTGAGATTATTTATATGATTTTCAAAAAAAGAGTAAAAAACATGGTCAGGGTCCAATGAAAGAAGATGAGGTGCAAAGGTGGGATTATTCTGGGATTATCTAAATGTGAGATTATTATGAGAAGACCAGCGAAAGGTGAGATTATTTTTGTCAATTTTTCCTAAAATTAATTAACTTTAGTATATTGTGCACAATCTAAAAATGCATTGATCAATTAAACTTAAATTCTTAAAGCACATATTAAGTCACAACATGCATTTACAACATAAAAAATATAAGGAAAGTTATTTTAAAGTCATATATAATTAATATTTAACTTATGCTCAAATCGATTCGATATTCGTATATGATTCGTTGACTATTCGTATTGTTAAACAAATACAAATACAAATAAAAATTAATATTCATTTCATATTTTAATTCGAATTCATAATCGAAAAAATTAAACAAATACAAATACAAAATAGTACTATTCGACTCGATTCGTTTAAACCATAGTAACACGGTACCGAACATATCTTTAGCAAAATGCAAAAAAAAAAAAATTAGGCTAAAGGGTCAAATAGGTACATGAACTAACTTAAAGTGTTCAATTAGCCCCTTATATAGGAGGTTCTGCCCGGCCGTCGTCAATTGGGGCGGTTCCCGGTGAAATTTTTTGATGAAATTTTTTGAGCATCTTCTTCATTAAGTCTAGTTTACCCATATCAAATTTCAGCTAAAAATTCAACCGGGAAGGCAGTCAAATGATTTTTTGAAGATAACTGCGCAGTTAACAGCAAATTCCATTTAACTTAAAAATGAAATTGATATATACTATTAGACATTCATATATGAAAACATTTAAAACTTCTGATCAAGTATCTTACCTTTATGAGGATGGAAATGGAAATTCATATCATACATATATGAATACGTTTAGCCCAGCAAAAAAATTAAACATGTTTAGTTGTTTCTTTATTTTTACAACTACAATTTAGATTTTCCTTCACTTTTGACAATGATTCCTAATCTAAATTAGGAAATCTTCATACATTTAGGGTGTTTTTAATTGGACTGGTTTCAGTCTTAGACAAGATCGGATCAAATATCAATCATAATAATAATAATTATTATTATTGTTATTATTATTATACATAAAATAGACATCTTCCAGACCAAGTTAGAAATGAACATGTCAATCTAATTAAAATATCCTTATTAATGACATTTTCAATGTGACGAAATAAATGAGTAAATTGTCAAAATGATCCCTTTTTTACATTTCAATGTGACAACATAATGAGTACAATGTAAGAGCTCACTAATATATTTACAAATACTTATTTCATACCACATGTTGAATGAGAAATATTTAAAAATAGTTTTTTAGATGCTTAATGAAGTAATATAGAGGATGTAAAATTAATTAAGAAACTTTTGTATGAATTCTTTAAAATCGGGTTCATAACCATTATGTTTAGTTGAGATGCTTATGTAGAAGTCCAATTTAAATATTTTTCATATAAATTTGAATTACTTTTATTAATTATGTATGATTTTGAAAATATCAAATATACAGTTAGCTAAATTATGTACTACCCGTGCATCGCACGGGCTTGAAAGCTAGTACTACCTCCGTTCTTAAATAAATGCAACATATGAAATTTTACACTATTCACATGGTCTACTTTGACTACATTTTATTTATTAATGTATGGATATATTTTTATGAAAAAAATATTGTTAAATTTGTCTCATTGTAAAATTTCAATATCTAATTTTTTAATTTTTTTTACTAATATAAATTTATATAAATTAATAGTCAAAGTTGTGTCTCGACAAGTGTGAAATGTTGACCGTTGCATTTATTTAAGAACGGAGGAAGTATAAAATACCACTATTCGACTCGATTTTGAGTTAAACCCTACTAACAAGGTACCGAGCATATCTTTGGCAAAATTCAAAAAAAAATTAACGACGGTGGAGACCATCCTTCATGAGGTTCGCGGCCGTGTCTGTCAGGCTGACAGATGTTACCTCTCCAGCAATACAAGTTGCATAACATCAGAAATTCAGAATTACATAAAATAAAAAATACTAGTATACTACTACCGGATGTTACAGCAAAAATAAAAGAATTCTTCATTTCTGGTCTCTGCCTAGATGCAGAAGAAAAATGGAATCGAGGGAAACTTTTGCTTCCCAAGAAGCAGCTCCAACCCCTTACATTTCCAATAAGTCGATGCATGAGAAACCCAAACAGGGAATCGAGGAGTTCGAGACTCTTCCCTCCAGTGTTAACAGTAGCAATGATCGAGAACATAGAGTAGTTTCAGAAGTTTATCCAAAACCCGACTCGCACATGTCTCCGGGCCAAACCCGGAGAAGATCAAAGCCTGGCTTGAGGAGAATGAAGGGAGGGAAGTGGGGCGCTGTGATCAGAAATCCGTTTACCAAACGGCAGGTTTGGCTGGGCACTTATGATTCAGAGGAAGCAGCTTCGCACGCTTACAATTCCATGAAGCTAGAGTTCCAGAAAGCCAAACAAGGAATAGAGAAGGAGGTCGAGACTAGTCCATCTGGTTTTCACGATCCGGATCCGGATCCGGTGCCCGGTTTGTGCATGGATGAGGGGCAAAACCCGAGAAGCTTGAACCGTGGGTTAAGGAAAATGAATAATGGGAAATGGGGTGCTGTGATCGGAGACCCGGTACTGAGGCGGCAGGTTTGGCTGGGAACTTTCCATTCCAAGGAAGCAGCTTGGATAGCTTACCATCACAAGAAGCTGGAGTTCGAGAAAACCAAACGAGTAAAGAAGCAGATTAAAACTAGCAAAAAGACTGCATGTCCAGTCCCATTGACCGATCCGGCGAAGAAACCAGTTTTGGATCCGCACTCGGATTCCGATTCTGGAAGGAATTTGGTTAGTCAACCCGTTTCACCCACTGATCTCGTTCACAAACCCGAATCACCTGCAGGTCCTAATCCAAAACCGGATTCGGGTACGGGTCCTGACCCGCAACACGCTTCCAGTAAGGGTCCTAATCCGCTACCCAAGTCGATTACGGGTCCTGATCTGCTACCCGAGTCGATTACGGGTCCTGACCTGCTACCCGAGTCGATTACGGGTCCTGACCTGCTACCCGAGTCGATTACGGGTCCTGACGTGCTACCCGAGCCGATTAAGGGTCCTGATCCGCTACGCCATTGTCCAACGGATTCGAATCTGGGTATGGGTCATAGGATGAGAGCCACGAATCCTGGGGTTAGGAAGGAGATTGGGGGAAAGTGGGGGGCGGTGATAAACAACCCGTTCACCGGGCGGCGCGTTTGGCTGGGAATGTTCAACACAGAGGAAGCAGCTTCGTGCGCTTACCTTTCTAAGAAGCAGGATTTCGAGAGAATTGCTAAAGCCAAACAACGACTGGAGAATGAGAAGAAGCAGAATCCGATTATCACTGAGCCGGAAAAGACCGCAGTTTCTGATCCTGGACCGGGTACCAACAGAACTTCAGAAGAAGAAGCTTCACAGGCTTACGAATCTAAAAAAACAGAGGATTTCAAACATGGCGAATCGGAGATTGAGGAAAGCAAGATGATTTCGTCAGCTGAGGTAAACCCAATGACCAAAAAAAGTATTTATATGGGAACGTTTCAAACTCAAGAAGAAGATAAACTAGAAACCTACCATCAATCCCAGAAAATTGAATTTGAGGAATCTCGGGTTGTAGAGGATGAAGATGATGGCGGGATGTGGTTGGGGAAGTGGGTTCCCATGGCCGACGGGAGAGAAGTAAGTTTCTCTGTGAAATATGGAGTTCCCATAGTTGATAATTATGGGTATCTGCTTGGTGAATTCCAGAGATTGGACGATGAGCTTTGGATCTGTAAAGAGGAAGACTATGCCCATCAAGCTTAACCTTAGACAATGCTTTTGGGGTTTAGAAAATGGCAATAACCCATTTGCACCTTGTGGATAAACCAGAGCCGTCAATTTTGAACCGGAACGGCTAGTACCTCTGAATCGGGGGCATAACTTTTTTAATCAATAATGTACAACTTGTGAAATAATGGGAAAGAGGTACTCCAATAGGAGTCCTGACAGATATATTTATAATAGAGGAGTTGCCAAAATACAAAGTATTCCTAAATAGACATTAGGCAGATTCCTAAGCATAGACATTAGGCACATTAAGCAGAAGTGATTCCTAAATATCTATTAGGTAGATTCCTAATTATATTAGCCTATTACAACTTGGGAAAATGATATGTGCTATATCGCCGAGTAGGGGAGTTTTGTTGCAGTTTTTGGGATGTTTGGAAGTGATTCTGTTTCTGTTTCTGTTTCTTTTTTTTCAAGCAGAAGTAAAATTAGAACCAGTTTTCAGAAGTTAGTCTCCCTCAACTTCAAAAAACTTATTCTGGGAGTAAATTAAAGCACCAGAATCATTTCTGCACTTTCACACAAACAATCCAACTTCTGCTTCTGCTTCCTGAAAAAGCAGAAAGAGTTTTAAGAATAAGATCCAAACACCCCTTAATTAAAGCGGTGATTTACACTTTTATCGCCGAATTGGATGATTTGTTTAGAGGTTTCTTTGGGATGTGTTTTTTAGGATAGGCAAAAGGGGCAAATAAGCCTAAGTACTAACAAAAAAGGTCAAACAAGGCCTTATTTAGGAGGCTCTGTCTGGCCGTCACCATTTGGGGTGGTTCCCGGTACAATTTTTTGATGAATTTTTTTGAGCATCTTATTCATGAAGTCTAGTTTACGCATACCAATTTTCAGCTAAAACTTAAATCGGTAAGGCATTCAAATGAATTCTTGAAGATAACTGCGCAGTTAAAAGCGCAATTATCTGCGCTTAGGGTTTAGGGTTTAGGGTTTAGGGTTTAGGGTTTATGGTTTAGGGTTTAGGGTTTAGGGTTTAGGCTTTTAACTGCGCAGTTAAAAGCGCAATTATCTTCAAGAATTCATTTGAATACCTTCACGATTGAAGTTTTAGCTGAAATTTGGTATGAGTAAACTAGACTTCATGAATACGATGCCCAAAAAATTTCATCAAAAAATTCCACCGGGAACGACCCCAAATGGTGACGTCCGGACAGAGCCTCCTAAATAAGGGCTTATTTGACCTTTTTTGGTTAGTACATGGGTCATGGGCCTATTTGCACCTTTTCCCTTTAGGATATTACTAACTATTTTTTTAGGGCAATACTAACTAGATTGGAGTTAGTAATAGAAGTAAATTCATTTTCAGTAGAAGAATTTGACCATATATACAAATATGAATATGCATAGATTATTTATGTAGACACTAAAAGATTGTCATTGCATTATATCAGATCATATTGTTATCTTTTTTTTACTTCTAACTATTATCTTAAATGATTAATATTTCATGTCTATCAAAGCATCAAAAGAGAATTTTCGAGTTTTAAAATAGCTATTTGCTGCGGTTCAGAACTGCAGCAATAAGTGAAAATTCATTTTTTTAAATGATTATTTGTTGCGGTTCATAACCGCAACAAATAAGATTTTCTACTATTTGTTGTCTTCCCAATTGATGCGATTCAGAACCTATTTGTGTAAACCTATCAATAACCTATTAATAGTTTTTTTACTATTTGCTGCCCTCCCAATTGTGTGCGCCTCGAATGTGGTCATACGCGTGTATAGCTAGTCCAAGGACTGAACGAGCTAGGTAATCCATGCTACCTCTGTGTCATGGTCCTCCTTGGATTGTTTTCGGTCTCTAACTGGACCTAAATCGAAGATCCAGGGATGTCATCCATTGCAGCATCTCCACCCTCTTGCTCCTTTTCTTATTCTTCTTCTTCTTCTTCATGTAGCTAGCTAGTGATGGTCTTTGTGGACTCAAACATTTCCCATGACTTTTAATTTTAGGACCAAAATTGTGCTCTCATCCGGAACATTTGAGGATGATATGTACAAATTTCTCTACTACCTAAGTTGACATCAAATCTCCTGAAAATCATTATAAGTAAAAGAGGGTAAAAACAATTCTTATCTCACCTTTTATCCAGCCCACACTCCTCACATGCTTGATGATATTTTCACTCAATGGGACGTCTTGAATCTGTTCGAGGCCATCATCCATCTTGTAGAGAGATACAAGTTAACTCTTCATACCACATGCATGCACTAGCATGAGGACAAGCTGCCGCGCCCCAAACCCCGCTGGACTCTTTCGACAGTGGCGGCTTTGGGGGGAAGTTACCTTAGGCACCATGACAAGGATGTCCTCCATTGCGGCATTTCCACCCTCTTGCCTCTCTTGCCCCACCTTTAATAGTGTTGAGATTTATTCCTTCAACTCCAAAGGCCCAACATCTTCCTATGGGTTTCGGGTGGAATATTTAGTGGATTATAAGTGATGAGTAAGCACAAGAAATAAATGGAAAACAAGAAGAAATATCTAGTAAGTGGGCCATGTCTTATTCAACAATAATAAGAGCCTATCACAACACACTTCAATATGAGCCCGTTACGCCGATCGTCTATCTGAGCTAGGAAGAGCTGAGATAATTGCTATTGCTAGAGAATATGTATAAGTTGTCAACCCCTTACAATGAAATAAATGCTACTATTTATACTACCAAGGAGTGGATGATGTCGATAAAAATTTTTTTTTTACACCCTACCTATTTATTAAATAAAAGTTTAGTACAAAAAGTAGGAGGACTAGACCAAAGCCTACTTTAATCAAAATACATAAGGATAACTAATAGCATCAAACTTGAGAATTCCAACAAAATGCTTAAAATGAATATCATTCGTGTTAATGGAAATGCTTTTGTAAGCCAAGTACTCCGCAGCTTTGTTGATCTTTGGGTGAATGTGCATAATAGACCAATTGGAACCGTAGAGGGCCCTTCTGATTTTCTGGATTCGTGGCCAATACTTCCAATGCTGAATATTAATACTGGTTATTCCTTCATAAATATTCCTATTATCAACCTCAAGAACAAAATTAGTATTTATACTCTTGATGTTGATAATAGTTTCCAAGATTGCATCATAGGTGGCATTAGTAGTGTCATTAGTGGAGGAAAGATGAGTCATGTGACCTAAGTAACCCCCTGTGTCATCCCGAAATAACGCAGCAGTTCTGGCAAGATTAGCATTGAGTTGACAAGTGGCAAAGTTGATCTTTTGGTAGGAAGGAGGAGGCTTTTTCCAGTTTATATGACGCGGACCACTATTGGTTTTATTGGGAGGTATAGTGAGGATGTTGAAAGGAGTGTGGGAAGTATAGGCGGTAAAAGGTTTGACATTCGAAATGGCAAAGATATCAGTTTTAATAGTATTAATTGCCTCAGAAAGATTGGCCGTTTTATTTTCATAAAGGAACTTGTTCCGTATCTTCCAAATGTTCCAAACTATCATATTGGGGAGGACATAGTTTAAGTCAACAATTCTTCCTTTATAATCGTTGTACCAACCCATCAAGTAGTTTTGGATAGAGGTAGTAGCATGCAATTTAAAGTTTGAAATAGTTTCAAAATGGTTCCACACACCTCTACTAAAAGGACAGTTTAGAAAAAAGTGATCTATAGTGTCATTTGATGGGCAGAAAGGGCATTTGAATGGGCCAAAAATACCAGTTTGGTTAAGTTTGTCATCAAAAGGAAGGATACGGTTTTCAAGCTTCCAAAGGAAAAAGGAAATTTTTGGGGGGGTCCGCTTGTTCCAAAGGAATTTGTATTCCGCTTTCGTACTCATCTTTGGCCTAGTGACATCATAGGCACTAGAAAAACTGAATTTGCCATTTGAATTGGGTTTCAAAAGGTAGCCATCCTCCCTGTCAGTATAGTGGACCTTGGTTTCCATGATCTTTTCCATTAAAAAATTGGGGAGGCAATTACGCACAGGAGAGATCAGATTGTAATTAGGCATAGCCTCTTTAATAGACAGATTATAGAGATGAATAGGGATGTCATCATGAAGGAGGTACAAAGGGCCAATGTTGCACCAGTTAGAGAACCAAAAAGAGCTACTACCATTATGAACCTGGATACAACTATTAGCCTCAAAGACCTGATCAATAGAACAAAGAGCCTTATGCATCACAGAACGATTTTTATCTTTAAGGGTGTTGTACCAATTAGCCCAAAGACCAATTTTGGTTTTCGTCTTCCACAAAAGCTTAATAAAAAAGGCACTTTGGATATGAAATAAACTACGAAAGCCCAAACCATTTTCCGAAATAGGGAAACAACAATGTTTCCAACTGCGCCAAATGTGTTTGTGATTATCCGGACTGTTATCCCACAGAAAGTTTGAGAGTTTTCTCTCAATTTTTTGAATAATAGTGCGCGGGAGGGGGGGAGACAGCCATATGATATAAGGGGAGGGAACTGAGGACGTGACTGATAAGAATCATCCTACCACCAACCGAGAGCATTTTATGTCTCCACCCAGCCAACTTATTGTCCAATTTGGTGAGAATATGATCAAAATGCGAAGACAAAGTTCTCCCAGTACATATATTAGCACCAAGATAAGTGAAAGGAAAAGAGCCTTTTTTTATGTTAAAAATATCTTCAACATTTTTAAAAGAGTGGGTTTTGGCATGTTTAGAAATAAGGTAAAAACTCTTTTCATTACTAATAAGCTGGCCAGAATAGAGCTCATAATCAGAAATGATATTTTTCAGAAAATTAAGGGTCCTCTTTTCAGCATTGGAGAAGACAATTAAATCATCAGCAAAGGACAAATGATTAATATTAGGCATATCTTTCATAGTATAATAATGCTTAACATTATCAGATAAGGCGAGAGTATTAAGCTGTTTAGTGAGGACCTCAGACACGATAATAAACAGGATGGGGGAGAGAGGATCCCCCTGCTTCACACCTCTACTAGGCTTGAAAAACCCTTTAGGGGATCCATTAATTAAGACGGAAAACCAAGTGGCATTGAG